GAAGAATATTAATATCTAGTATTCAGATTTGAAAAGTAAGTAAAATTGCCTACTTCATGCTGAATGCTTGAGTTACTCTTTGAAACTGAAAATGGAGACTGTATGTACCGACGAAACGTCGGTGAACTTCGGGCGTTCTTCTTAAGTCTTGATTGGTGCTCATTGCTTCTTTCGTCCATTCATCGAAACTAGTGATGGGGGCACTACGCCCTTACGAAACGCTGACAAACTACTACCAGGCTGTACGGCGTCGCAATTTTATGAGCAATTTCTCTTTCTCTATCTCTATCTCTATCTCTATCTCTCTCACTCACACACACACACATATTTATCTGATTAGGCGTTACATGACAATCCGTAATTGTGTCTGTAATTCTCTTAGTGGGGGAGTGGAGTCCAGCTGGTTCCACTCGGCACGGCTTCCACTGATTGGCCTATTGTACCTGCCCCGGGTGATCATGATGGAAAATTTGGTGGAATGAAAATTGGCAGTGGAAACCGAAGTACTCTGAGGAAACTCGCCCCAGAGCCACTTTGTCCACCACAAATCCCACTTGACCACACCCAGGATCGACCCGGACCTCCGCTGTGGGAAGCCAGCGACTAACCGCTTGAGCTATGGCGCGGTCTATTATGTCTGTAGGTCTCTTCTGACATATTTACTAATTTCGGAAGAAGAAAGAATGCCCATTCTCTTGCCATCCAAGGTTACAGCCACTTGCAGGACGCCTGCAAGTTTAGACTACCAGATGGACTGATGTGTAAGAGAAGCTGCAGGAATGGCACGGCAAACAGAGGCCAAAGGGAAAAAGCTATTGAAATTTGAGAGAATATAAATTGAAGATTTTTCATTTATCATAGAAGGGTGGAGAAAAATGCATAATAAGCAGTTTCATAATTTTCACACATCATAAAATATTATTAGAATAATTAAATCAAGGAAGATGATATTGACACAACATGCAAAGAGCACGGAAGAGACGAGAAATGCATTAAAATATTGGTGAGAAAACCTCAAAGAAAGAGGCCAGTAGGGAGAAATAAATGTAAATGAGACGATATTATTAAAATGAATCTAATACATACAGGATAAAGAGTGTGGACTTTGTTCACCTTGTCCTTGAAAATGACCAGTGGTGGACTTTTGTTAACACGGTAATGTGCTACAATGTCTTTAGTGGTTAAAGAAATGCTGGATTCCCAAAATGACTCAAGTTCATAAAATTAATTAGGTAGTTGTAGAAATCATTACGCTTAATTTTTAATAATTATGTATTCCTTTCAATGAAATATATGTGTCCTTCCTAATGTTACCTATAATACATTAGCAAATGTCAAATTTCTGGTGTTTGCTAATTTTCATTGAATTATTTTCAAAAACGTTGCTCCAACAGCTGGAATGAAAATCCTACTAGGCCTCCCTCCACTGCATTTGCAGATGGAAGCAGAGGCCAAGTTAGGAAATTAAAGATTGCGTTGCAATGATCAATGGAGACCTAAATCCGAAGATTATGGACATGCATACATGACTCAGGGCATGAAAAAATAACCCATCCTACAGATGGAAACTGATAGAATGTTACCGAAACATGTTTAAGATACACCCTTCACAGTCATATTCCTTGATAGAAGAGAATGGACAGAGGAGTTTCAACTAGATAGAAAGGGGGGACAAATCTGGTATACAGATGGCTCCAAGACAAATATAGACACTGGAGCTTAAGTTTATTGTAATGGAACAAGGTGGAAACATAACTAAAACCTCGGTCAGTTCACAACAGTGTTCCAAGCAGAGGCGTATGCCGTTATTACATGTGCAGTTGAGAATTTAGATAGGAACTACAGAAACAGGAACATCTATATCCTATCAGACAGTCAAGCTGCAATTAAGCACTTGTTACACAACATATCACTTCAAAATTGGTCTGGGACTGCCGCCAATCCTCCATACAACTGGCCAGACATAACAGAGTACCACTGATATGGGTGTCAGGCCATGAGAGTATTACAGGCCGTTCAGATTGATTTTTCATATTACCGAATATTAACAAACCTTAACTGCAGCTAACTATAACCTTGTTTACTAATTCGCCCACTCTACTTCTCGCTACAGCGCAAGTTAGTCTTCCACACTTTCACTAGGCTTTCAATCGTAACGTATCCCAACAGTGTCCTCTGCTTACCTCCTTATCGGGTGGCGTCTATCTCACAAGTAACGCACCAGTGCACTTTGAAAACATGACTCACTGCCTAATCAAAGTCAAAGACATATTACTACCGACAATGGGTCGGCAAGTCAGTTTTGAAGATAGGCATTCATTTTGGCCCTAGATCAGATTTGAACTACCAGACAGTTGTGGATTTGTTGCTGTGTGGTGAACTCACTGGCGAGAAGACATGCTTCCACTTTTCAAAAGCTGCCGGCCCTCGCCAGCGCAGTTTTCTCGGGTCCGGGTTCCGGGGGACTCGTGACCTGTGACTTTTGACCTATAAACACGTTGCTAAGAAGCAATTCTGTAAATATTCCCCGTTGTTATGTAATGCCCGCTCGCAACAATGGAGGTGATGTCACGATACCTGACGCGTACGGCCGTTGTTGTGTAGCGCCCGCAGCATACGCATGCGCGGTGACGTCACACAACAACAGAAGCTTCGAATCAGACGATCTTCCCTGTGGGCCCTCCCAGAGAATCGACCGACCGTGTTCAGTTCATCGACCGAGTTCAGTGCGGTTAAGGATTCAGCTGTGGAGGGTCAACCACCGGGTAATAGAAGCAGAAGAACCTCCATTGTTATGATTCGTTATCAGGAAGTATCTAGTGAGGGCATTACATCGGAATAGCCATTGTGGAGAACTGTTATCAAGTAAGGACTAGTGGAAATGGACTGAGAAGGCAGTTTTGGGTGATTTATGGTATGGGAATCAGCATTAGTGTAACAGTTATTTGTAGTTACGACCTGGAAATAGCCAATAAAATCATTCACAAATCTAAAAACCATTTATAGTCACTAAACATGTGACAAAACTTTGTTGTCTACATTCGAGACTCCAACAAAAAGAAGGATCAGGGGACCGTATTTATATACCCCACGAAGAGGTTGACCCAGATATACCCCCAAGCATTGGGATCCCATCTCTTCGCCTCCTACAATTCGAAGCGCTGATGTGGAGGTATTCTATTCAGCCTCCACGCTGAAGGTTGACGCGGAAGCTGTTCTCCTTATATCGCCTCGACACGAACAGCATAGAAACATAAGTTACTTTTAATTTCTCTATTGCTCGTCGATTACGATCCGTTCAAAATTGTTCCTCGTGTATTTACCAAGCAAATTATTTCTTCGAAAATGGACTTGTCAAATGTCAGTTATTAATTTACGAATTATTTTTAAATTTTTTCTTTTAAATTCTTTTGATTGTGTGATGATTAATGAATTACAAGTTTTGTGCAGTGTTAGGTAACGACCGCTGAACAAACAGACAAGAGACACGGCCATGCTGTTGTATTGCAGCTGTTGCCGAGTAGCGGCCCGCCGGCAAAAATGAAGTATTGATGGAAGTCGTGTATTCTACGGATCCTCTCCCAGGCTATAACACTCAACCGACCTTGGTAAGATAATTCAATTATAGCAGTTGAATACACTGGACTGGTATTGTTGATTAGCGAATGAGTGGATTAGTTATAGTAGTGCTACAGTGCAGCTGGTAGCTGAGGCAAGAAAACAGCTCAAGGGGAACGCCCGCCGATGGACCCCGTTATCAGATAACTCTAGTGTAGACACAGCAGACTGATGACTTAGTGCTTGTTGTAGTGAACTGTGCAGTGAGTGAATGAGCGAGAGGGCTATATAGTAACTTGTCGTTATGAACACACACACACACAAACGCACACGCACATGCGCACACTCTCTCTCTCTACGACACCACAGCAATTCCGATCCTGGCCGCTTTTTCGGATTCTTTGATAATTTCCCATTCGACAGGACTCCTTGGACGGGGATCAGCCCGTCGCAAGGCCTCTTACTAAACACAAAACAACATAAACGTACACAGAGAACCATGCTTTCAGTGAGATCCGAACACACGAACTCATCACCCGAGCAAGAGAATGCAGTTCATGCTTTAGATTGCGCGGCCACTCTGATCTGCAGCTACGGTCTGTAAGCGCTCAATAAGTCAAACCACACCAAACCCAAGCTTAATCATATTCTAGCACGTGACAATAAATTGAATAATTTGTGAAAAGAAGCGGTAGTGTCCCGGATAATGATAGTGTCTCCTGTACTTCCTGGACTGACTGAGCCCCCTCCAGTTCAGGCCTGGACAGAGACAGAGGTGCAGGACGGAAAGTTGAGGAATACCTAGAAGAGACAGCTGCCAGGGAAAGGCATTAGCACAAACATATGCAGAAATAGTTAACACTGCAATATCGTGCATTATCAGCCGTGTTTATGATGTCAGTTTTTACTGCTGTTGCAACTGGTCCTGGCATACCTGTGCCTGGTAACTCGGAAGCTGTTTTTGTAACAGGGTGCCGTATCGGTGGGCCTGATAAAGGTAGGAGTTAGTGCTGCCTGTGTAATTATCGGTCTCGTGTTCATCGATTGTTGTAGTTCTTAGATTTATTGTAGTTTTATATTAGTATACACACATATTGCTAGCTTGCTATTTGTTATTCATGCTGGCTGAAGGCAGGGTGAACTGATTTGCGCATAGGGTTATAAATCGTGAAACCCCGCAACAGTGTGATAAGTAATTGTAGCCGTTACTTGTAGATTGTTCATTAAAGCAACTAACGATCTCTACGGCGAAACACGTTACAATATTCTGACTAAAAATCCAAATCAAATTAAATTATTAGGCGTAAAAAATCCTGTGGCACTTAACTGGTGGAAAGATTAACATCGTTGATGATGAGAACCTGAGTTGTTAAAAACGAATATATTCATTTTATTCATTCCGATGCCACATTAGTTACTCTTCTGTCACATATGATACTTACCTCTCCAATGTGAAATTCCTGATGCCTTTTCAGATACCCCGCCCTAGAAAAGCTTCTCTTACATACATCACATTCACATGGTCTTTCTCCGGTGTGAAGCTTCATATGGGAGTTCAGAGCTTTCTGGTACTTGTAACGCGTCTCACACCCCTGAATCTTGCAAACTTAAAACCTTCCTTGTCGTGCCACCGCTTGTGAGCTCGTAGTTCTGATTCCGTTCTGAATGATCTCCCGCAGTCCGGTACGTTGCACTTGAAGTGGGGATCCATCTGCAGAAACTGGCAAAATGTGTTTATATTAGAAACTATTGCATTCATGCGTCATACTACAAAAATATGTTTTTCAGAAACTTAATTACTAATTAATTAATTAATTACTAATACTTTTACATTTTAATAATGTAGAAATTACCTTTGGATGTAGGCCCACTGTTCACTCCATTCATAAGAATAATAACGCATATATAAGGAAATGAAGTGGATAATTCCTGTCTAAAATCACTTCAATTAACTCACAGCCATATAGGATGTGTGACAAATTGTGTGAACGTCAATTTTGCACCGCGATATCCGAAACGCAAAGGTGAGGTTTGTTTTAAGGGAAAGATTTTGGAATGGAAAACGTATAGACTTGCGTTTATGATGTCAATAAAATATCCATAAATATGGTGGGAAGTGGAGTAGTAATAAATTTCTCACATCTTATAAACACATCATTCTGATGTTTAGCAGCCGCTTCCCAACATTGCTGCTGGCGCTCTTTCTCACGTCAGCTCATGAGGGCTCTGTCTTGGAAAGAGTGGCTATGTGACATGGTTCTTTTCCGGGCACTTGGGTCTCCCATGCCAAATTCCATTTCCCCAACGCCTCAATATACAAAACTTGTCTCCTCATACTCTCAGTACTGATGGCGTAATTAAATTACCAACTCAAATTGCACATCCGCAATTACTTATTCTCCCTCAACACTTCATAATAATTGCAGATAGCATCTCAGGTCATAACAGATTCTAGGCTATTACTGAAATAAGTAAGAGAACAATGGCACAAACAGAAATTTACGAGTAATTTGAAGGATCCCATTAAAGGACCGATAATATGCTGCCTCATGACATGCAGAAACTGATGTAGTCTGATTACGACGTGACCCGACAGAAGCATACTTCTGCAATTCACTACAGGGCGTACAGTCCTCAGGTCTTCACTGAATGACTGCTTGTGCTAGTCCATCTGTTGGTCGAATTCTTGAACTATATTTTAGAAACACCACGAAATTCTTTAGTACGCTCACAACATTTCTCCACGTGGACCGGCCAGGGCCTATTGGATCTTATAGAGACCATAATATTCTATTCGTTTCAGCGTACGTTTCAATGATCCGAAGGTTTCTTTCCCGTATATCCTTTTAATATTAGTGCAGAAAATCTTGCAGCCACGATTATCTCATCCTCTGCTCTAGGACTAGAGAAGTGACATGTACTGAATGTTAATAATTCTCACAAGCATACTCTGAAACTTTGCCTCAACTGGTTGCGTCAATGAATCAGGCGATATGTCAGCGGTGGCTTCTCCTGGTTTGGTTGGATTGGAGAGAATGCCACTACTGACACCTAGCGGCATATCACAAAGCGTGTTGGTTGCAATGGAGACATGGAATGAAGGACAAGGTGCTTTTGCTTTGAAAGCATTTTACAAACACGTTGACAGTTTCCAGATCGCTCAGCGTGAATTTCGAAACGACTTTGGTATTCCTCACAATCTTGCTGCTATATCTGCCCATGCCATCAAGACCTGGGTTCAAAACTTTGAGGCTATTCGTTCTACACTGAAGAGGAGAGGTGGTAGCGTAAAAACAGCACGTACACCCGAGAATGTAGCGGCAGTGAGAGAAGCCATTGAACGAAATCCACGCCAGTCTGGGCGTCACCGCGCTACATCACTCGGGTGGTCCGAAGCCAGCGTTCGACGGACTTTGCACAAAGATCTCCATTTCCACCCCCATAAAATTCAGATTATTCTTGCACGAGAAGAACGCGTCTATGAAAAAAGAGTTAATTTCTGACAGGCTTTTGCAATTAAATCAATACCAAGATGTCATTGACAACTTACTGATGAGCAATGAAGCTCATTTTAAATATTCGAGGTGTGTTAACAAACAAAATTTACAATATTATATTTAAGCATCCTGTTGCACTCTACACGATAAATGATACAACCTCCGTCCTAAGTGCAAACAATATATATTTATATGTCTTTGATCTTGTTCTTTCTACACTACATGTTTCGGCCTCTATCGGCCATCATCAGATGTATACTCTTAACGTTGCTGCCACACTGAACCCAGTCTAAAACTTAACATTTAAAAACACAATGTCACATTCTTCGTATTATCAACATCTACATCGTTGATATGTGTCTGGTATGTAGATTATGTTGCACACGTCAAACCCGATATTCTTGTAGTAGCACTCTAAAAATCTTTAGTTATGATGTTTTTAAAACCTTTTAAAATTTTCTCTAAATTTTAAATTTAAAATTTAAAATTCTTAGGGTTACTCGCCCTATGTCTAAGTGCTGGAGCGGCTAGTTCTTGTTTTCACACTGTACAGGTGTTATCTGTAATATACAAATATTCGTATTATTATTTTATGTACGTAATATTTTCT